GTTTCATGGTCCGAATAGACTTTGAAGTGCCTCCCAAGCAAGTAGTGCTTCCAGTGGTCTAATGCTTGCCTGAGAGCGTAGAGTTCCCTCTCAAAGGTAGATGTCGCAACCTTCTCTGAAGGCATCCTAGCGGACATGAACTCTACGGGTCTATAGCCATTGCCATCGTCTTGCTGTAACACTGCGCCTATGTCGTACTGGCTAGCATCCGTAGTAACAACAAAAGGCAAGGACGGATCGGCGACCTTAAGGACTGGATACTCTATCAACGCCTGCTTTAGCTTCTTCATGGCRGACGTGCAGTCCTTGTCCAACTTCCAGATTGTCTCTTTTCTYAGCAATCTGCGAAGGGGCGCAGCGATGGTGGAGAAGTTCCTTACGAACTTCCTGTAGTAATTCGCTAAGCCCAGGAACGAGCGCAACTCTGTCAGCGTACGTGGCGTGGGCCAATCTCTAATCGCTGCGATCTTGCTATCTTCTGGCTTAACGTCGTCTCCGTCTAAGACGTGGCCTAGATACAAAACTTGGGTCTTCGCCCAATCGCACTTCTTTGCATTGATCTTGAAGTTAGCTTCTCTCAGCTTCTCCAAGACTTGCCTGAGATGACCCCGATGCTCTTCAAGGGTCCGGCTAAACACTAGGATGTCATCTAGATAAACTACAACGAATCTGTCTAACGTTGTTGGCATACCTAGTCCAGAAGGTTGTCTTATACTGATCATCAGGGTGTACCTCTATCTGATGATATCCGGACTTTAAGTCTATCTTAGAGAAATACTTAGCCCCCTGCACTCTATCTAAAAGATCGTCTATCCTTGGCAGTGGCTCAGCATTCTTCACTGTAATCGCATTCAGACCCCTATAGTCTATGCACATTCTCAGCTCTCCCTCTTTCTTAGGAACAAAGAGGACAGGTGCTTCGAAATGAGACGAACTGGGCCTAATCCAACCCTTCTCGAGGAGCTCGTCTAACTGCTTGCGAAGTTCCTTTAACTCCCGTGGGGACATCCTGTACACGGCGCCCTTAGGAGTTCTACTGCCAGGCTCTATCTCAATGCGGTGCTGGATGGGCCGCGGTACTACTCCTATCGGCGGCTCGGTTAGATCCTTGAACTCTTCCAGCAGCCTGGCAATCGCAGGGTCCATCGGCTTCTCCTCCTTAGGCTCAGTGATTGGCCTAACATAGGCAACAAAGACGTGTTCCTCTAGTTTCTCCTTCTTCACCAATTTGACGAATGCGGGGGCACTAAGGCAGCAATGCGCCAAGGAATTCTCTACTCCTGACACATGAAACAGGCGGGCAATCTTAGCCTCGCCTGCAGAACAAGGGAGCCTACACTCATGCTCCTTCAAATGGAGCGTTGCCCTGGCTGCCTCTCCCCAATCCATTCCCAGTACTATATCAAACGGGAGGCTGTCCTCTACGAGGAGAGTCAGGGAGTGGAGGACCTTCTCCACCTTCCCATCTTTCTCTAGGCGGAAATACGCCTGAACTCCCTCTACGTAATCCTCTACAACCATGGTACGATTGTCCGCGAGGATACTAACTATGGGGTCTGTCAGTTTCTGGCTCAACTTCTGCAACGCTTGCTTACTAATATAGCTGCGGGTGGCCCCTGAGTCTACTAGACCCCTACTCTACTTCTAAAAATCTTTTCATCTAATAAAATCAGCTGCCTTTTATTCTCCTTCTTCATCTTGGCCCAGGCGGGCATCCTCTCCTTCAACTCTTCCGCCACGCCTATGAGGGAGGTGTCTAGCGAAACTCTAACACAAGCAGTCTCGGGACAGTTGTCTAGACACCGGCCTGCAACCTCTGCCGTAGGCACATGTGGTGTGGGAGTCTCCTGCCGGCTAGCGTTATTTTCCCCACATGGCCTAGTGGTAGGGGCAGTTGCTACCCCTACCGGCGGCTGCCTTTTGGCTCTTGAGCAGCCGTTCGGGTCTCTCAGAAAATGCACTGGCCCCGGTYCAATCGTTGTTGCCATAAAGCCTGGTCCAGACCCAAAGATTCCCACGGCCTACCCTGAGGTAGCCCTGGGTGCCATCCTCCTACTCTATAGGGAAACGTGTTCCTAGGACTGTTTTGCGGGGGACCTTGACCCCTACCTCCCGCTTGGCGGTTCCCTTCTCTGCCGCCAACCCCCTGATCGCCCTGGAACCGGCTCCCTGAGGCCCGGCCCCCTTGGCCTTGGCCTCGTCCTCCTTGCGGCCTCCCTCGAGCCGCGACAGCAGCGTAAGTCCTCCCCTGGCCCACACTACTGTCCTCTTCCTCGAACCCCCACTCAATCTGGTCGTAGGGGATCTCGTCCACACTACCCTCATCTAAAGTGAGCACAAGGCTATCCTTGGTCTTGACTTGCCCTGAGATAGTGCGGCCCTTCCACTTTTTGCCCTTGTCTAAATCTTTGTGCCAGAAGGTGGAAATCGACGCAGACTTCGCCTCGAACGCG